AGGCAAGCTTCGCTCACCGTCTGGATTGTCTTGGTTATCCATTTTATCAACTGAAAAGATAAAGAAGCACGGAATGCAAACGGAGGTTAATTCACAGTTACAAAGTAGCAAAGTTCAGTACGTTAGTTGTATATAACCCATTGGGCGGAGGACTAACCGATTGAATTGTAATCATGATTTAAGTGTATTTAGAGCAATATTCCATTGAGTGTGGAAAGTAAAACAGGTCTGCATTGGTTTTGGTTTACTTCACTCTATGATTGGTCCGGAAAACTCGCACCACTCTCTCAACCAATCTAATGCAAAACTAACACCAATCACGACTTGATCGCCCACGTTTTCCTGCACTTTAGGCAGGTTACTTGTTTTTACTTTCGGTTCTCATTGGCTTTTCAACTTACTTTCCCATCTTCTGATTGGCCGTTGTAATTATTTTTGTAGAACTGTTCGACTTAAGAGAAGAAAGTTTCCAATCAAACCAAATTACATTATATAATATGCACGCATTCTGATTGGTTCCCACTTATGATATATTGAAGGACAGACGTATAGATGACGTCATCATTAAAACTTTTTTAATTCTTAATTATATAAAACAAATAGATTCCAAGTTGCTGTGCGCCTGTTCAGTAATAGATCACAGAGGACGTCAAAACATGGTAAGAACATCAGTGACACTCAGCTGCGCCTCGTGTGCCACTTTTTTGTTCTTACAACATTTTGACGTCATCTGTGATCTATTACTGTACAGACGCAAGGCAACTTGGAATCTATTTGTTACATAGCAACATAATTTCTCACCGTTACTAGGCAACTCCATAGCGCGATTGCTTTCCTCCGAAACTGTTTTCTCCTGCTCAGGCTTCACTTTAGGGATGTTGCTAACGGGTAATTGACTGCGAGGTGTAAAAAGTTCCTGGCGGAGGTTGGGTAAGAAGCAGTCAATCCGTTCCCATGTGACCTGCCATAGTGCAGAGTACTTATGTATGTCTGATTCTGGCCTGGCAGGTGTTTTGCGGTTATCACTTTGGGAACCAGCTGTTAATGTACATTCCTCTTCATCGAATATCCCTGCTGTTGACATCACCAGTAACATATTCTTTAGAGATTCTGGAATGGCTTCAAACTACAAAGCGAAATTAAAACAATAGTTATACGTGCATGTACGATGTGCCCGGCACAGCTCAAACAGTCAAATTATGATAAAAATCGGGTTACTAAATCGCGCATGGCCACCTTCGCGCAACTTTCATTTGACCCGACCCTTGTTTCTAATGGAGTGGTTAGAAAAGCATCCTTGGCATCTTTGTGAGTTAATTTAATATTATCAATTGAGTTGCTAACATAAATTGGCCACCGTAAAGAGTTTCAGAGTTGACATTTAGTCAGAGCGATTGGAGGAATTGTGGGTTGTGCGAGTTTATACGCAGAAAATCGAGCTCTGCTATTGGTGGGAATACCAATCTCTGAATCGTTTTGAAGTAAGTTTTTAAGAATAACAGATTTAACTGCTTGGTTGTGAGGGTGAAATGTGAGAGCGAATGGAATGCGGTCAGTGTTTTCCTTCTCAGCCGTTTGTGGTGCTAGAAAACCAACTAAAAGTTTACGTATGAGAGACAAAGCCTTACGCTGGAAATTGAACTTTCAACAACCAACATTCCACTGAACGACTTTCCGTCTCCCGAAGGAATTGTATTTTTTTTCCAATTCGGTTGGTCTTATGTCAGTTGCTAATTGACTCGAAGAATGGAGGAAGGGCCTAACGGATGAAGTTCCATTTAAGCAGAGCCTTAGCATCCATTTGTTCTGAAGAGCACACCAAAGGAGACGGAATCCAGGGTAATGTTTTCCTCAAAATTTATATTCCTAATGGGCTCGATAATTTTTCCTTCTTAAAGATTGCTTTTAGTAAGCGCAATTAGCGCTTTAATCTAGATTTGCTTGTAACTAAAAATAATTTCTCCTGAAACAGTTTAAAGATATAGTTGAGGAAACATCACTGATAAGCTGGATGTCTCTAAGAAAGTAAGGTTGAAACAACCTCACATCTTCTATTGTACGAAAAAGTAGTCGGTGTAACCGTCTAAGTATCTAAGGGGGCGTCATGTTAGAGACAAAAATCCATTACTGGAAACTGAAGACGTTAGCGACGTTTGGGTCTCTCGTTCCGCTGGGATAACCAAGTCTTAAAAACAATCACCATGAGTGTGATTCCCATGCACTCTGCACCTCTAATACCCTTTATGCTCGAGTAGAAACAAAATATAATATTTACTCACCAGAAGATCGCTCTTATCTGCATGCATGTACTTATCCATAAATTCCAGGATTGTCAACCACAGCGCAGTAAAAGTGGATAAAGACAACAAAGGCGTCAAATGCTGTAGGAACACCTGTAACATATTAAATCAACCAAAACATGAATTCAGCTAATGCTCTGATGATTTTTGCTAGAAAATCTTCATAGCTTCGAATATTTCACGCCACAAAATTCCAGCCCATTCTCTGTTCAGTAAGCTAATAAGTTAAAAGAAGACGCATCAAAAATAAAATAAACTCATCATCGTTTTTCAAAGGATGTTGCAAAGTCTTCACAGTTCAGATTCCTCGTAGATATTCCTACCTCACTTGTTGCTAAGCGAGTTTTTATCTTATTTGTTTAGTCCTTTGCATTGGACTCAAGGAGAGGAGAACAGATCATAAATCCTATGGCGCTTTGTACTTATATTTTCGGTCAAACTTAAATCGTACAAAAGGAGTTTTCTATAAGTTAAAATCTTTCTCTTTTTCTTAGAGTGAGCGAAGAGCGACTAGTTAATGATGTCAAATACCTTGCAGAGTAGAGTAGCAGCTCTCATGCGCGTTTCTTCGACACCCATTGGATCACTATTGCTATTGACTTCTAATAGTTGAGACAGCATGGGAAACAAAACCTGAAAGCCAACAGATTGGCTGAATAAATCATTAACTTCTAGTAACAAACGACCAAAATTATCTTTCACTGTAAATATGCCTCTGTAGCCCCAACCCAAAATAGTTTTATCTGTTAGTTGTGAAAAATGGCGACTTGTTTACCGGTAACTTTCTTGATAAATGTTTCAAATCAAAGATGACAATGAAAGCTTTAAAGTCGAAACGTGTTATATTTATGAAATAAAGGCGCCGAAATTTTCTATCTCGAATTCCACGGGCATATTAAAAGTAAAACAATTATTTCTAACCGAGAATTACAATGTGCTTCAACTTGCTTCTACAAGAAGAGCAGCGTATTGTTCCAGTTTCCCTTCAGGACAAATTTGTTGGGATATAAAAGTTAACGCCACTGTTTGGAAGATTCGAAGAAGTGACTTTAAGTACCTTGTTAAAACATGCTTCCCATTCCATGGCAGATAGATTTTGAAGATCTTGAACGAGTAACGCCCGCTGAAGATAAGTAAGAGCAGACATTCTCACATCCCTGCGCACATCACAACAAAGGCGTGCAATTCCTTGCAGCAAGGGACACCAGCACTTAGTCCACAGAAAGTCCAAGCTCTGGTCGTGAACTGGTACATCAGGGCTACCATCAGCCATACCTGGGAATTTATCAAAAATTCCTCTTCCATGAGTGTGAAGAGTGTACATGAGCTCAAGGAGCTGGAGAGACATGGCATCATAAGTATTGTTGATAGTCTCCACGATCTCAGCTTCATCCTCACTCGTGGCTGGACTACTGGTGGCCGACTTGGTAGATTTACGTGTCTTCAAACCTGTTGGACTCACTTTCTTTGAGCGTGAAGATGACGAAGATGTCTTTTTGCTAGAGCGCCCCCAACTTCCTTTGTAATCAGCTGTGCTCTCTTTGAGTTGCCAGCCATCTTGGCGATATCCAGCTCCTCCATTTAGACTAGCCTCTGAGAATAAGCGAAGAGCGTGAACGCAATGCAGGTAATTTTCCTTTGTGACATGAGCGTTGTCGCGGATCAAAAAGGCCAAGCTCTGACACGATTTCACAAACGATTTACTATCATGCTTGTTTAATTTTGCACCCACTGTTAATTCATACTGGTTCGCAGGAGAGCTTTCTGAGTCCTGTTTTGTAATCACCAACCACGTGTCTCCTAAAACACTTCCACTCAAACCTGAATCCGCTTCAATACTTGTAAATGAGCCGCCTTCACTTTCGGAGTTTGATATTCCGTCCGCAAGTTCGTAATCTCTCGATGTCAAATCACTTCCCACATCGGATGATGCCGTGGACATGGCCACATTACTTGAAGTAACAGTTGGTAGTGAAGCAGCAGCACCTACACACTCCAGCAAAGCAAAAACTGTGACCCAGTCTCGAGAGCATGTTATACTAGAGGCGTTAGTCCGGATCAGTTCGTGAAGTCCGAAAGAAATTTGCCTCCCACAATCTTGCAGAACATCATGCTTCATTAACAATAAGATACGAAGGGTTAAAAGAACTTGACTGGATACTTCTTCTTTATGCAAGAGACGAATTGCCAGCCTTAGCAAGCCAACAACAGATCTCTCCACAATTGAACTGAAAGAAAGAAAGGTATACACTTTAAACATGTCTATAAAACTAATATCATCACTTTCCATTTAACTGCTTACCTGTGATGAGTTGCATTGACAAGAATGTTTGACAAATGATCCCTCACTGTGGCCCATAATGCTGACACACGATCCCTGTAAACCAAATTATACATATCAGAAAGTCAAGTCTTTAGATCAGATATTGTTACCCTGAAATTATACAAACTATGGAAGATTCAGACAAGCTTTTATTACAAAAGGTATGTCAGTAAACTTTAATACCTAATAATTAATTTTGCCGTAAAAATCGTCCAATTGGGTTTCAAGAAATTTAGATATGAATTATACAAAGTGTACACCAACCTTGAAATAATAAAAAAGACAAAAAAAGTTGTCATTGAAAAAAAAATTGAGAAACCCCTCCGTTTTTCTAATAGTTAACCTGGCATATGGTAGGAAAAACCAGCGAGTGAACTACTTTTGTGGAAGGAAAAAGTAATAAGAACAGTGTACTTAAAAACATTGCATGACGGTTATTAGTCTTTGCCGTAGTTGGGACTCTAGACATAGAGGTCAAGTGTCGCCAGCTTGCGAAGTAGAAGGTCAGAGAGTATTCAGGTTTCAGTGGCAGGAAGTGGCTAGGCATGTTGCCTCACCCCCTGAGCACGATGCAAGTCCATCGCATGGATAACCCCTACCCTACCCCTCCCCCCGGCATTGCGTCAACTTTCCCGACGGTTTGTACCAATTTTCTCTTCCTGGTGGAGAGAGGTGCAGGGGTGAAGGTTCTTGTTCGCGCACAAACATCCTTAGTTAACAGTAAATGAGGAACAAAAATGGGATTACACCACATTACCAGACACCTCTCGAAACATGAAGGAATCATATATAGTAGGGTAAAAAGCCAGAATACAACTGCACCATTACCTGTTTTGCAAAACAACTCTTATTAGAAGTTCCAGGAAAAAAACCGCAGCCTCTTCATCGTAAGGGACAGATTCTTGGTTCTCAATACTTGAATTGTAAATCAGCACCTGACAATATAATCGATTCAAAACATTTGGCCGCGGTTGTTGAAAGGTCGGATAGCGCTGATAGCCCTCGGGCTGATACGCTTTTCTTACTGCAAAGGCTGCTGCTTGAATTTCTTCGTTAATAAGAAGGTTCAACTTTCAAAACCGAATGTTGAAAATAATTCAGGGCGGGGATTTGAATAAAGTACATAACTGGTGCTGATTTTTTCTTACATCGGTGGCAATGGCACAACGACTACTAACAGTAATCTTCTTCATTTGTATCACACTCATCACAAATATCACACTCCGAAGAATTATAAACCGACCAGAACGGATACATTATCCTTTTCTCAATCTGGGGGATGAGGAATCGTAATTTTCCCTGAAATTGAACCACTCAGCCTGGTAGTAACTTATGCAGGTATGGTCCTAGCAGCCTCGAAAGCACTAACAGCTTACCCAGGTGTCAATATGCAGGTAAATAAAAATTTGAAATATTGGAGTCTTTCTTGTTATTCTTTTAACAACGTGGCCTTTTATAACATTCCTTATCCTGGTTTAATAACGCCAAACATAACCGATTAATCATTTAAGTTCACAGACGCTGAAAAATTCAACATTTCAGATTACCTTTATGAGCTCATTCAAGGAATCAGGTCTCAAAAACTTGCTCTCTGTGATGAGGAGCTCTGGTAGGCAATCCTGGGTAAAAATTCAAACGCCAGCTTAGAAGATAAGTAAAACATGCATTTCTCGCCAAATGATAAATCACTATAGCGTTATATCGCTTGAACGATATATCGCAATGACGCATCCTCTCCCGACATAAATCGCAGTAGCTATATTTCGCTGAAGCGACGATATGCCGCGCGCTCTAATATCGTTGTAGTGATATTTCATTGGAAAGACATCGCTGAAAAAAAAAAAAGGCGCGCTAAATCGGCGATATATAGGCGATATCTCGAAGGAGAAGCGCGATATTTGGCGATAACTGTTTTCAATACTTTTGTACAGTACGGTATTAATGAGCAACCGTTTCCTGCGGCTTGAAGATCAACGATTCATTTCTTTTCAAAGTATAAATTTTTTCATAAAATGTTCACTTGTGTACTTCGAGGGTTTGGTTCATCCGTCATTCGTACGCACACACGACTTGCACCACGCTCAGTTTCAACTTACTCTGATGCAGGTATGTGCTTGTTTTTGTGCTTCTTTGTCTTCTGTGGTCTGACCTCTATAACTTGCTGGCTCTGGGTTCACAAACCACCACGAAAATAGAGATGTTTCCGGCCTGAGAACACAAGTTAAACAAAAGTCAAGAACCTCAGGCAGTCTAAAATGTTAAATTTTCTCCTGCACTTGGGGACAATTTTCCACTGCCTCAATCTCACGCATACACATGTGCACGCATACACATGTGCAAGCTATCCGATCTCAATTCATGCGGCAACTTAATGACAACATCACAAGTAAAAACGTTTTTAATAAAGTTTGCTGACTGCTGTGCTGGTGACAGGATGGTTTATTCCAAATGTTTCCAAATTATTGCATATTGTTGAGTAGATAACTTCCATTTCGTTTGATCATCCATTCAAATAACAAACCTTATATATGGCAGTTCTTCTGGTAAAAGACTAACTCTCCCGCTGGCTTCAACAAAGTCTTCCGCCTAAAAATAACATCGGTAAAGTAAAGTGTTACAACATTCACCGCTGGAGGGTTCTGTTGCCTCACAACAACGAAATCAAAAATAACACAAAGGTGGCCGGAAAAAAAAAACACAATTTCTTCTGCTTTATTAAGGTGATATTTGTTACCTCCACCATAGATTTGGGCAACAACTTGGCTTTGAATAGCTGAAGCATACAGTCCATTATATTCTTCCAGCCTTCTCGTAAAATATCCCCATGACGATGGGCCAAAGCGAACAAGGTTCTTGCTGATTGCTGCGACTTTAGATTTCTACCAAAAGATACTGATAGACTCTCTCCAGTCTGTTAACATAACGAGCAAACAGCAAATGGATTTACTTCACTGGACATGTTAACCTATCATTGTGTGAGTAATCAACTTTAATTTAGACTTTTAATCAACCAAATAATTTTGGAAAACTGTCCTTTAAGAAAGATTATAAAACTAATCAAATCTACATCGCTGTCGTAATATAACTATATACGTTTTCCTTCGAGCACGCCTTTCAGAAATGAAGTAAAACATTGACTTCCTTCGCATCAAGTCCACCGATAATCCAGGGCTGAAAGCATCAATATTGGATTATAATACGACATGAAAAAATAGGAACATCTCTACCACAGTATTTCTATTAAAACTCTCTGTCGCCAAAGATAAATGCACACTAGAAGATACGTTTCTTCGCACCTCTGGTGGGGTAAGTAGTGATGTAAATTTACACAGTGAAATAACCAGGTTATCAAACACATCTGACAAGCTGTAATGAGCTGATATGAGGGCGCATTTTCTGAAAGAAAATAGGAGGCAATCACTGAAAATGTTTTAGAATCGTCAAGTATTTGGTTCATGTGCTAATAGAAGTATTGCCACGATGCTACTGTAGATATAAGTATGGCTGTTAAGTAGTAGCACGAAGTCAGTACCGAGACTTTCGAGGAACGGACCCACGGCGTCAGTCAGATTTGTTTGGTTCCCGTACTAGCTCCAGGGGGGTCCTCAGTTTCTTCTGTCTTTCACGCTTCATAAAAACCAACAGTCAAAAACCCTTGACGGTCCAGCCAAACAGGAAGTTTAATACGAATGTGCCGGTCAATGCATGATACTAATCCTTCAGCTTGTAAGCCAGACTGACTCCTATTATACGCTGTATCAGCTTGACTGATCATCCCTTCACTCCCTATCATCACTATGCATATTCTCCATACTACTTCCTAGACATTTCCTAAGCTTCTGACATGGAGAATTTGTTCAACAATCAAGAGCTTCTTTAGTTGGTGATCATCTCCTTTATTCTCATGACCTTAATGTTTGATTCAGGGGTGATATTGTAAGGAGAAACTAGATGCTAGTCACCCTTACAGGTCAAAGGGTTATACGGCTGTTTCGAAAAAGGTTGTCGACGAAAGCGTATAAGTGCACGCCACAACCCCAAAAGGTAATGTGGGTAGTCTTCAAGTCACGGTTCCTTTTAACCAAAGATTTCAGGGAAATCTGAGAAAACATCGCTGTAAGGACGAGGCATTGCGAATGTCACGATTTCATCCATTCATTTCACTCATTAAAGTTCATTGATTAACGGAATCCAACATTACTTTTCGAGATTGTCGCGTGCAGTTTTTTCTGACACCTTTATCTAAACAGCAGTATGTTGAAATGCGTCTAAGAGAGGCTGAAGGCAATTTTTGTAAATAGGATGATGGTTAACCAACATTTACCTAAATCCGACGATAGCTTTCTGCGCAACACTCTTTTCCAGTCCGTTATCGTAAACATATGACAAAGCAGCCACAGTGGGACCCCATATGATTAAGAACAAGTCTTTATCAAAGCTGCTTCCCAAGCCATTAATATACTTCCCTTCAGGACTACTGCTGCGACGCAACAAAACCTGTTTGACAAAATATGTACATACAAAAAATGAGTCAACAGATTATCTATTTCGATTGGTACAAAACCAAATGAATTTATAGGTTCCATGACTGAAGTAACGTAGTAACCTTTTCGCGTAATTAAAACACAAAGGGTGGAAAAGGAGAAATAATAGCTCTTCAACAAAGACCTTCCCACAAAAAAAAGGAAAGAAACGCCCACAAATAAACCTGCTTATGATAGATAATTCAAAAGTGTAGCTTTTCCTTCCATTAAATAAGCCCAGGCTTGCAGTTCAAGGTCACATGATTAACCCTTTACTTCCTAACATCAGTATCCATGTTCTCTGTACTGTTCCCTATACATTTCAATTTCCTCGACTGCGTCTCGGGTTTGCATGAAACCCTCCTCGTGTTAGGGTAAAGTACACTATTCCTTAAATATGACGCACGGCTATCCAATATCCTTCTCTTGTTGGAACAAATTTGTGATTCGGAACCAACCAGTCTTGATAAAAACGACTGTAAGCATACAACAAACATGCTAGTTTTTATTCTAACCTTCCAATCATAATTCTCTCTTATCTTTCCACTTCTCTCCGAAGGCATGACAATCTCTTCATTTCTATAGAAAGAAGAAACAATATAAGCCTCTGATCTCATAAATTCTATGGAGCTAAGGAAAGCTAATAATTCATTACCCAACACGCTAACGCAGTCATCCACAGTATTTCCTGATTTATTTTAAAAGAATCATGTAAGAAATAGACCAAATAAACCTCAATTCTTTCTTGGATCGTATTGTAATGGTTCAAATGGCAGAGGAGGGAAAACAAAATTAGAGTTGTCTTATTTTGAATCAAGTATGTTCACAAGATTCTAAGATTTATTTCGCTCAAAAGTATGCACTCTCCGGACATAAGCTCACCTAACATCCCCCACCACACCATATGAGTCGAGGAGCGTCACTGAGCAACTTGGATGAATTAATTCCTTGTTACAATAAAAAATTAAATACTGGCTTTTATGATTCTTTTGATAAACTAGCACGCGTTGTTCTTTCATAAATGAACATGCGCATACAAGCATAGATGCCTTCATCTGTACATGCAGAGATGTCTACGGACCATACGCGCATACACGCCAACACACAGACATACAACGATATATCCACAAATAACAAAATACACAAGAATAAACCCTCCTTTTTCCACATTCCAAAGTAATTAAACACATTTTCTTACAGCTCTACTGCGGAACGGCTCCAATTCAGTTGTCTCTTATTTCATTAGTGATTGACATTGACAGTAGCACATCACACTGGTGTTCCACGTGTTCATCATGAATCTATTGTATGGTGGAGTGTCTTTACCTTATTGCATGATACACTTCCTCTAGCATACTTGCTTTAAAATCCGCCGTGCCATTTGTCTTTCTCAGGTTTTTCTTAAATTCCTATGTGAAATAAATCACATATAATCTTTACTAGAACAGTCGCTACAGAAGCAGTAAATACAACGTTGTTCTGTAACAAAATATAAAACCATTCACTGTAAAGTTTGAGAACACTACACAAACGAGGGGGCTTGGAAAGTAGCCAGATTTTGAACTCGACATGATAAATGCAAAATCTGCTACAAATATTGCATTTATCAGGAAAACTTCGTACGCTATTGTATATCGATTAAATGCTCTCATCCAATTATTATTTTACATAGGAAGTCTAAGGTATAGTGATTTTCGTTAATATTTAGTGGTGTACCTCGCATGTCATTGGTTTCTGTTGTTTGATGTTGGAATTGTGCTGGTCCACATTCAACATAATAACAGCATAGCAGAGTGTAAATACAGCATCCTTGTTGGCATATGGCTCTGGATTACCTTCCTATAAGTTATCAACAGGCCGCACACTCAATCAGTACACCACCACTGATATATTGATTTATTGAGAGACTTCCTAAACCAATGCAGTTTGTAAACACAGTCCACTCTCACTAGGTGGAGTAATCACACGGTCAAATATCTAACTGACTTTAGATTTATAGGAGATCGGCCGTACGAGTTAAGAGGTAAAACACCAGATTCTGGTTGCTATTAAGACAAATGCGTCTACAAAAAGTGATAAAAATAGTTTCTGAATTGCGATGAAAAAAATTCCGATTTCCTTTACGTGTCTGGCTAACACTACAGTATATGGAAACTAATTCATTGTTGAATGCCTTTATCCTTTCAGGTTCACGTGTCCAGTGAAGCACACCACCATAAAACGTCAATGTGAACGGAGAAAAAAGGGCCCAGCCAATTCTAAGGAGAGCGTTTGCAAGTTAATACTTTGAAATAAAGTAGGAGTTTCGAACTAGGCACTTTTAGGGGGGTTCAGTACGTTATTTGTAGTTGGCCATGTAATATATATAACAAAACCTTCAACTTACATAGAACAATTCAGAAAAGAACTCTATAATGTGTTCAATGACAGGACTTTCACCCGGAAGACGAAAACTTTCTAAGAAAGAACGAAGAGCTTCATCCACTCTTGAATCATGGAAATGGAAAGACCTGACGAGAGATTAGACAAGGAATGTTACGTCAATGCAAAGAGTATATGGAAATAGCAAACCATTTGAAATTGTTGTCTTTTTTATTATGCATCGATATCCCGTTTCTGTGGAAGAAAGGTCAGTACGACAAACTACGAACCATGTAAGAGCTAATCAGAATGTTCGGATTTACCTTAGGACTACTTTACCTTACAATAATACTATCTAAAAATGGAAGTTCTTCCGTCTGTCACCAATAATTGTCAAGTCGTTTGCAAGTTAGTATACTTACCGCACGAATGCTTCTAAAACTCGCGTGTTCTTTTTGTCACCGAGGTAATCGCCAATCGTTTTCTTGTCAAGACGTGGATTTTCACGCAAAAATTTGGCCATTTCCTCATGATTAAGAGGAGATGAAAGCAGCCCTTGCTCTTGCAAAAATTCAATTCCTTTCTTAGGCTTGTTGTTGAACTGCTCAGTACCAGCTTGAAGAATCTAAGAAAAAACACATCAATTAGTTTGAAGCAGAGTATGTTGCATGATGTAAAAAAAAAAACTCAGTTATCTCTCTGAAAGTGATTCAAAAATAACTCTCCAGACAAACACTATCCAAGACTGAGCGCAGACTTTTTCAAACAAAACGGGTGACGAGAATTTCTAAATTATATGAAGGGGAGTGCTTCTTCACTTGTTGTCTGGTGACTTAATTCTACCTTCTTTCTCTGTCTCAGCTTGGCCAGAGTCTCGACTGCTGGAAGGTGGGAAGAGAGTAGAAGACCGAGAGATGAGTTGAAAGACTTGTCATCACCAGAGTGATCACAGCTCTTTGCAGCACTGTCTTGTGTGCTCAGCTCTTGTGATGCCACACCCACGGTCATTTTTTTGGCCATAGCAAAGCCAGAAGTTGGTGGCGACGGTGGAGACATAAGTGAGGAGGAATCACATTTGTCATCTATGCCTGAATCGTCATCTCCTAGCAAAGCAAGAGGGTAAAATTCCATGTAAAGTAGATTTGTCAAAGTTATCTTTCACCTACCAAACTGAAAAGGAACTGTGTAGACGTGACTACCAATTTTGTCTTCTTTGGAATACGGGTGAAGTTCACACGCTAATACTAAGCACTAAACAGCTAACAATAGCCACTCTATAAACCACTGGTCATAAACGCTCATCCAATCAATGATCAGTTAAAAGTATTATAAATAGATTCCTTGGAAAAAGGTAATTCCCGGTTGTATTATCTTTAGCTGAAATCTTATCAGAATAATCCGTGTGTTCTTTTCAAATAGCAGATATACAAGACTCTGAAGTGAGTATGGCTCCTTTTATTTGTAATATTGTGAGAGGCTCAAGTCTAGTTTTTGAACGACACCTAAAATATAACACAACACAGATAAGTTAAAACATCCTGTTACCTGTCGTCTTGCTTGGACATTTATCAGCGTTATTTTCATCTGTGGAATTTTCTACTGTGTTTAAAAGCTCAGAGTGACAGTGTTCCTCAATGTTCTGGACCACAGCAAGGAGAGCATCAAGAGAAAGTAAATGTACACTATAAAGGCTTCCAGCTGAAGGAAAGGCGTTCTGCAGAAAGAAGGACGAAAAGAACTAAGTTGCATAGATACCAAAGTCAATGAGGAAACGTACGCACAACCTTTGTTTTCCTTTAGACTAACAGTGTATTTGCATAAAACACATTTTGGAAAGAAAAAGAGAAAAAAGAGAGCAAAAGTACTTACATACTTTGTTTTCCCTTTTTTAAAAAAGAATAAAAGAGCATTTGAATGAAACACATTTTGGAAAGAACATCCTACTCAAATTATTCAGAGAAAAGAGACTCTCCCCATGCCTTTTCTTTTTTTTACGGCCACTTCTTACGTTGACGAGTCGACTAACATACCTGTACACTGTGACAATTAATAATTGAAAAGAATTGCTTACACAATCAACAAAACTACAGAGCAATCAGTAGATTGCATTTCTTTCGCTTCCACCTTTGATAACTATGACGGAAAATCAAATTGTTGAATTTTCTTTGTTGGTGTTTCTTGTAGTAGTCATCACTTCAAACCTGTGACAAACTAAAATTGCAAAGTATACCTTGGAGAGAAGTTTGCAGAGTTCCTCAAATACATTAGTGCTGTACACATCACAGTCGTAGTTCAAATAAAGTTCCATGACTAAATTTGGAACCCTGAAAAGCTAGAGACAGAAAATACGTGATTGTTAAGAAATATTTAATTTCAACTTATTATTTATTTACATGTAAGTCTCTCCAAAACATTTACCCAGACAGTGAATGGACAGCAAGACCCACTGTCCTCTATACTGGAATAAGGATAACAATTCAATGTACATGTAGTTAAGGTAGATGTCAAGCTTGTCTTCTGAAAAAAGTTCATTAGCCTTTTTAAATCATCAGAGTAATTTGTATCAAACTAGAGTGACTATTTCATCAAATTATAGGTACTATCTTGATCAAGGGTATTTCCCTCCTGCAATGGGTAAACTCTTTTTATGTTACAAGGAAGACTTACTACAAGGTTGAAACTCCTGTATAAAATTTAAAATATTATTAATTTGTACAGTTCACTGCTTTAGCACCTTGGATTCTTGGTAGCTGATGGCACTATGTCCACCTGACTATGCCTAAAGAATGCATATGCTTTTAACAAAACTGCATCAAAACATATTTTTAGTAAAAGAACTAACTCAATGTCACCTGATTGACTGCATCAAGGGTAAGTTCTCTTTTCTCATAGGGTACACTTTGGGGATCTAGTGACAAGATATCCATGAGCTTCTTGAAAAACATCTGGATATGTTGATAAATAAACATCAATGTTAGATCCTCTAGCTTTAGTCACAAATCAGACTTATGGTGTTGATTTCTTTGTATATGGGAAATCTACTGAGGTTTGGATGTGGCTTATGAAATGGATTTATTTATATGGATAGGTGTTGCAATGGTATTGCATTTGGTATTGCCCTCCAGGCAAACCATGTGCATTGACTGTTGTCTGTACCCAGGGGGAGGGGAGTTTGAACCTTACATATCTTTCCAGCAGAATACAAGACAGTGTTATATCTATCAATGTCTAGGTGTTTAAAGGTATCAAGTTCACTTTTGTCAGCAAAAGGCTTAGAAGAAAAATTCTACAAGGTCTAGCATTTAAAGCTTGGTCAACAAGTAAAAAGTCATAGTCACTGATGTTGCTTATTAAAAAAATTGGCCATCAAATCCAGCACATAAGTAGGGCATTTGAACACAATTCTGACCTCAGGAGGTGGGAATTTGAATAGAAGGAGGATGCTGAAGCTTCAAATTGATTGACACATTAATTACCTAAGATTCTCTTGTTTCACTGCACATGGATCAGGTTAGGAAGTATTATTCATGGGCACATAAAGGCTAACAATTAGGCCCACATTGGATACATGATTGGAAAATAAATATCGAGCTAAACATTTGCTGTTTCTTTCCTAATTGCTTAGCTGAAAATTTCTAATCACATTACAAACCTCCATTTGGAATTTCAATTCAGTGCGAAGCCCTTCAAACAACAGGAAACACACTCTCATTGCCATGGTAAAGAGTCCAAGAACATCACACTGGATAAGCTGAAGAAACACCATGCAACAGGGAAATAATCAATATTAGAAACTACAACACAAGTGGAAAGTGCTTTATGTGCACTTTTCCTGGTTAGCTTAGAGGCATTTATTCATCTTTGAGCAGCAGAAGGGAAATAGTACTGTTAAGCTTGTGGAGATCTCAAGGAAATTCCCCACTTGTCCTTTGACAATTATGTAGGCAAGCGAACAGGAAAAAATTTGAGAGAAAGAGTTCTTTAGAGTAGTCACATGACCTATATGGCAAAAACAAAAGATACAAGCTAAAGAGGTTTATCATATTACTCCCCCATTTTTCTATGGTTGGCTAAAAGCAAATAATTATTATCTATAAAACTGGTAGCTGTTACAAAACTGATAGTCATTTAACCTTTCCAGCCAAAAATCAAAGTTTCCATCAATTGTCAAACACCTCAACAATTAAAAAATACCAAATGAATTGCTGGATTTTTCAAGATCCACGAAATATTGAACAAAGAAATAATACTTATTAGGTATGTGTAGTTAAACAAGAGTAATCAGCAGTTCTTTTTATCTCCAGAAAAGTGACAACAATTTTTTTGTCCAAAAAAGTTTTTCAGTTGGCAGTTATCAATATAAAATTGAGCCATTTGTTTCAATAACAAAATAGGAAAACCATCATTTACATAAAATCATAAATTCTGAATGACTGGTTCATAAAAATATGTATTCCTTGAACATAAAAAACAGGTGAAACATTAAAAGAAAACAAAAAGAGATGTATAGACAAAAAAATGGATTAAGTTGAGAAATGCCTTTTGGATCAAGCAAACCATTTTTTTTTAATTTAATCACTGCAGCACTAAGTTGTGCTTATTGGAATTATGCCCATTACTTCCTTCTTTAAAAACAGTTCTCATCTGCCCCTTAGTAACCATTATAAAGACATTTTAAACCCTACATACCCAGAAGAGATTCTTGCACATGTCATCCTTAACAAAATTCATCAGTGATGGAAAAGTTCCAATGTGATGGGAACCAGATTCAAGAGCAACAGTTAAGAGAGACAGTCCCATATGAATCATGGCTTCAGAATTATGCCTGATAATGAGGAAATAATTCAAGTTCACTTAATAATTTGAGACAATAAGACAAAAAAAGGCAAAGAAGAATAAATATTGTCATGTTATAATCACAATCACATTTAACATGTATCATTTGAACTCTTTTCCTCAGGTATCTAATGAAAAATTTCAGCTGGGTTTTACAATACATGAAAAAGAAAGACACAATTTTTCTAATATTCTAAAATCCTAGTCAGCTATACCCTTGAAAACGGCACTAATAATTATATTATATTAGTGAGGCGAGAGTAGTCCAGTGGTCAGTGAGCTGGACTCTGGGTCCAACGGCCCGGGTTTAAGTCCTGGCTGGGGCATGACGTTGTGTCCTTAAGTAAGACACTTCACTCACATTGCTTCGTCTTCTCGGATAGGACGTAAAACCGTAGGCCCCGTCTCCTGCAGGGTTGGGGTAGGAGACGTTAATTTCCCACGCACGAGATTACTGTGTGGTGGATGTCCTCCCCTGGGGTGGGATGGGTGGAAGAGACACTAATTGTAAAGCGCCTTTGATCATATAAATGTTAAAGGGCGCTATAGAAGTAAATAAATTAAATTAAATTAAAATTAGAAAATAAAGACATTACAACATCACATCAGTGTGTAATGTTCAACTGAGTAATATATATTGACTGGATTTTCATGACATTCCATCCTGTTAATCACAGCTTATTTTTTCACATTTCAAACCTACCTGTCATGGGGATTAATGAGAGAAATAAGAAATCTGAATAGTTCTCGAATGCAAGGCAAACCATAGGGAACCAAAGGACCGGCACCTGCCATGAAATACTGAAGTCAGTATATGACAGGTAATGAGACTGCCAAAAATATATATGTAAAACAGATTAATATAACAGAATTCTCTCACAGCACAAAAAAAAATCAGTCTGTGATGTTCAAATGAGGCTTAAAAAAATAAATATTACTCCAAAACTATGCCACCTTTGTTTTACAAGTAGTTTCTCTTGGTTGTCCTCACCAATACCTTGCCATTCAAGATGTCCACCTCATTGTTGAAGTCACCCATTGTTGAGTTTCATGAAAACAAACCCCAAATCAGAATACATTTTTAACCATGGTCTGTCACTACATACCCTCTTTAACAGGTTCTTGTGGGGTAAAACGCACTCCACGAGGGTTAACATAGTCATCTTGTTGCAGCATTGCTTCTGTTTGGCTTCCCTCTGCTACTTCTGACAAGTCCTCTGACTCAACTGTTTCTAATGATGCAGTACTTCCCATTATTTCTTTCACTTGATCATCATCCTCTGTTATGAGGGAGCTAGCAACAATGTCCGCGCCAACCTAGTTTACACATTAATATGAACATAATTATATTATCATCATAACTGTAAAATGTTGCCAGAAGAATGACTACTTATTAATTTTTAAAATAACTCCCAAGGTGTCAAAGACATTAAACTTGAGACATGTAATAACTGTATTTCTAATTCATGATGGCACCAGTAAAGCAAGGTTTGTGTAAATTTTGGCATTGGATTCCTATTAACTTTGATTAATTTCAACTAACATTTCAATCTGATCTTGCAACAGTAAAATTATATTTGCACTCATGTAGTTTTTATTTCTGAATCATATTAGCCTTTTCTAAGCAATCTTGTTTCTCCAGTAGTTCTGGACAGTCATGTAAGTAAAGTTTAATTCCCTCATAACTAGCATTCAAATCAATTGAAATATTTATTTATAGTGTTCTTAAATGTTCTTTGTTGTGCATCACCATTGTGATAAGCCAAGTTGAATTTTACATGATAACAGTATCACACATTGAGTGACTGGATGCTTTTTAAATACTAGACCAAATAATTGTTGTTAATCATATTTATCCTTTCTTCTTAAGAGAAGTTTGTAATTTGTAATGGTACATGTATTTCTGTAATCAGGTTATCTCTTGAATATAAATGGCCCAGCGCCTATCGCTACAGTTTGTATGTAAAAAGGGCCACCACATTTACCTCTTCTGCTGACTTTTCACATACAACCTCTCGCTCATCTTCAGACATAACAATTCCTTCCATGCTCAGACCATCCCCTTCTACTTCACTGCTCATTAGCTGTGATGCTATAGATGGCCCTTCTTCATTGAGAGGTTCAGTGAGGTTGGTGCAATCTCCAGCAGGCTTGCCTGTGTCTCCATCAGACACAGGTTGTCCTGGTACACAATCTGATATTTCAGAAGACTCTTGCAAGAAATTTTCTTGCAGAGTTGGATCAGTTTCAGAGACATTTTCATGTTTGATATCCTCTTTCAGTGGATCAGAGGGGCTTGTGATTGTTGTTGTAGCTACTGTTGTTATTGTTGTTGCAAGGGGCATCTCTTCAAAGTGACCTCGTCTTGGTTTAGGAGACATATGCTTCTTCCTTTTTCCAGTTGCAATGGCTCCAGCTCTTTTGAACACCTATTAAAACAATAGCTATAAATTAAAATAGATAGATAGATAGATAGATATAGATGGAAATAGATGGGAGACTAATTCAAAATTCATTTCTAATTCAGAAATTTATTTACATCATGTCAAAAAACTTACTTTTCTCAATCAGTAAAAGATAAGTCAAATGCCCTCTCTCACTATGCTATTAAAACTGTAAGCTTTGTGAATAGTATAAGACAAAAGAGATGCTATGGTCAAGCATCAGTTTGATTAAGCAGGCCTGCTGCTTTTATTTAGTGACAGTTATTCATCTCATTGTTGGCGCAAAGGTGAATATTTATATGACCTAGAAATATCCACCACAATTCATCTCTTCTTAGGTGAAAAATTTTGAACTTTACCTAATTTAAAATCAATGTGTCAAATTGACTTGGGCTCACCTTTCTTATATTAGGGATCATCCCTGACTTTAGCTCTTCTTTAAATTGAGGGAGTCTAAGGAATTCAAAATCAAAGAAATGTGAGCTAAATCATTTGTACACTGATGTTAGTTTCAATGGTTTACATCTCTCCTTTGTAGTAAGTAATAATATTAAAATTTTCCCGCCTTGGGAATGTAACCCCTAAAAGAGACATGTAGCATCTAATTTCTCCTTACAATATCACTGAAATCATGGATATCAATATAATACTTATGATGCCCCACAACTTCTAGCATGCTTTAACCAATCATATCTGTTTGAGATCACAATCAAGGAGGTGAAAATGACACTTTCTGCTGTCCCCATGAATACCTTTGACTGTATTCAATTAAACTTCAACAGGGTCAAACATTTTGACTTCCTTTAAAAAAAGGATCTTGAGAATATATTGGCACAGTAACAAGGAAAAATAAAGGCACAATTCAGGATACAAACTTGCCTTGAAAATAGAAGCTGCACCATGTCCATCAAGGTCTGTTCAGCAGAACGTCGAAGCAGTTCTTAATAATGAAAAACAAATACACCTGTATTAATTTTGGTTAAAATTAAGTGCATAAACTTGATTTTACATGTTTTGTTTATATTCAAGTTATTAATATTCAACTATCAATTTTCATCATAACCTTTTCTATACTGTATTTTTTAAAGCAAATTCATCATTCATAATACCTGAAAACCAGCTTTTGAGTGTTTCTCACTGGAAGCTAAGTATATTTAGATAGTTGACCAGTATGTACCATGTATGTATGTAGGTATGTTTGCTATTCTATAGAGAGTGGGGCTTATTTAAAAAATGAGTTTGAATACTGTACCCAAGCAAGCAAAAAAATGTTCCAATCCTTACCTCAGATTTAAAGCATATGTGGTAAAGACCATAAGTTCACAATCTTCATGGGTGGAACAAGCATATTTCTTTATAAGCATACTTATTGTCAAGTACTTACCAATAACTAAAGGGGGTATGTTTGCAAAGATACTGTAGTACTGCTTCAGTAGGGGGTGTAACAAGATGTTATTTGGTTTCATCAACTGGGTTGATAATATAAATCAGCCACCCTTAGAATTCCTAAGCTAGAGTTTTAAACTCTAGCCCTTCATTAGAAATGTTAGCCTAGAAACTCTTTGCAGTGGCCAATTGATATTATCAACTCAATCGATTAAACCAAATTTTCTTACTTACCACTGAGTCTTGTTTCAAAACAAATCCTGAAGCAGGACTGCATGATCTCACAGACTGACTCATTTGTCATGTGTGCACCAACAGGTGTTAGCAGCAGTGTCCTGAGCACCTAACAAACATAATTTATAATACTTTTGTAGCAGAATATTGATTGATTTTTAAAATACACTGTGTGGGTTTTTTCTATATGTTTGAGTAAACTTAAATTTATCATGAAAAATATATCATGAAAATAACAGGCTCCCTGACTTTCTGTCCTGGATTTCAATTCAGGCACATTTTGCCTTCTGTTTAAGAGGTATATTCAGTTCATATCCAGAGACTCTACACTAACTAAGGCCACAGGGAAGTAGATGTTCAGTTTTGCCTAAAGGTTTTGGGCCTCAACCTGTTAAAATAGCTAATTAAACCATTTTTAATAAATGGTAGGAGAAAAACTGGAAAAGGAATTAGACCCTGAAGGTGCACTGTATCACCCAGACCACCAGTCATATCATAATCACTGTAGCTCAAAAGTCATCACAAAAGGACAATACTAGAATCTGAATTTCAAATAGATTCTTCATCAAAGCAAAATTATCTTACCTGAAGAATCTTCATGAGTACTACTTCATCACTGCTAGGGTCTGTGCCTACAAATCTAGCATGAGTAACAGCATCAGCCAGATTCTCAATACCAGATGCTGCACTTTCACTGGCTGGATCTGCAATACAATACTCTCATAAAATAAACCTGGTTGAATGAGTTTCTCCTTAGGCTCATCTTGTCCATTTTTAATTAGACCTGCAAAGAGTGTTTCTACAGAGGTTTATTACTATACCCATTGTACAGGTTTATTACTACAACCGTTGTTAGGATTGAAGGCCACAGTTAAGGGATACTCTCATTAAATAAGGCTTTACAGTGTCTTTATTTATGAGCAAATCTCTTTCCATCCAATCACCTTAAAAGAAAAGCTTTTGGCTCTTGCAAATTTTCCTACTATCACTTTAATTTCCAGAAAACTTTTAGGTCAGTATACACTGTAAGTTAAAATCCACTTGCCCAGGGTTACTAGAGAGTATCTTCTTTGCAGGCTATCTATCCCAAGTCTGAAATCTGCAAATCTTTTAGTCCCAGCCAAAACACAATGCTTGAGGCTGAGTAATAAAAGGAAGTAAACATACCAACAAGTCCATAAGACAGAAATTTGTTCACAGACGATAACGCAACACCAGTAACAGGTCCTGTTGTGTCTTCGGACCTAATGACTTCAAGAAATGGGCCCAAGAAAGTGTTTACATCTACTTCACTCAAATCTGCAACAAGATAAGCACGCAAAAATACAAATCAAATGACATTTAAGAAATACTACACATAATTACAATTATACATGACACAATACATGTACTTAAATAACTAAAAAATAAACATAAATAGTAGTTACATTTAAATTCACTTGTAAAGGCATAACCTAATCCATACATGCCAAATAGGGCTGAAACAGTTTAATATTTTACTATTTTAACAAGCATACAAACATCATGAAACAAATTGTGCAGGAAGATACCACTACAACCTTGAAACATTCCCATCTTATGATAATCAATAGCTTTATGTTATAGGTACACAAGATTCCCTTGACAAAGTTTCCATGCTCTTAAACATGTAGATCCCTTTCTTCTAAAGAGAATCCAGCCCCCTTCACCACTATAGTAAACAAGCACCCCTTCTAATTAAAAATAACTTCTTTCACCCCATTCACCTTACTTTCTGAATGGAATAAAAGAATGACCTCTTTACTTTGTCCCTTCAATTGAAAGGTTGCATGGGAGAAAGCCCTTAATGACCTCAAATTCACTGTTAAATTCTCCTTTCAGATCTTGCCAGCAGACTGTCGTCTTTTTTTTGCATTTACATGTATCTGTTCCTTACAAATTTTTCCTAAACCTTTGCTAAATTTACACATTTTTACACAGGAAGATTAACATGTGTTTCTTGAACTAAATCAGTGAACTAAAGTTTTTCAACTGAAAGGCAATTTAGCTGGCTGGTTTACACACACTGGAAACAAATCAATTTGAAACTCTTTTAAAACTTGTTTGATACCGCAACAGGCTTTGCCCATGTGTCTATAGTCTACAAATCCTTACCAGAAATAGCTGCAAGCTGGTCTTTAAGTTGAGAAAATCCATGAAGTAATGGATCTTGTTCTTCATCCTGTATTTGAACCAAAAAGATTAACATCAGATCTAGTGAACACAAAGCAACCTTTCAATGAGTCTATTATGATCTTTAACTACAGTAACTATAATTATATGTGGGAAGAGAATGAAAAAAAAATATAGCATCAAAAGCAAAAATTTATAACACAGTAAGCTAAGTACATCATACAAAAAAAGATTGTCCTAATAAATACATGTACACATCAGTTTCTTTAACCATCGAACTCCCAGAAGTGATCAAAATGAAACTTCTCCCTATTATATCCTTACATTATCCAGCAAATAGGTAATGAGAATATTCAAACTTATTAGGTAGAAGGTATTATCCTGATCTAACACCAAATTCTCATTTCTACTTTACAAGGAAATGTGTAGCAGCTTGAGGGGAGAATTAATAATTTGATCTTGGGAGTTAAAGGGTTAACTATGTAACTATATAAGAAAAAGAAGCCTCCACAGCACACTTGGAGCTGCCAAGTTATGAAAAAAGTGTACAGAGAAATACATGTAAGAGACTCCTTTGATACTCTGTAAACGTTTTCCTTAAAGCTCCTTCCTCCACTGTAGTTAGAGGGAAGAATGAGTAGAGCAGGCTTAAATTGATCCCTCACTAGGTGACTATTTTTCATGTCAAGGCACCCTTCGATGACAAGACTAAATTTATAACAACTACAATGATTAAAAGCACAATACATTAAAAAAGCGAAAATTTTATCTAAAAAGGATTTAAACCAACCCAATGTAGAACCTCGACAAAATAAAATTTTAGATTTGTAAAAAGTGTAACGTAACGGGGGTTCATCGAGTTAAGTAACAAATCGCCGTCTACATTCAGGGCGATTTGGTTTTAAATAGTAAATTTCGTCTCAAGGAAATTACGATAAATCATACCTGGTGACTGTGGGAGCCGCCACGAACATTTCTTCGTAAAGCCGCCACCACAAGAGACATTTCACCCTGAACAATGTAGACGCCATTTCGGGTAGACATCTGCCTTTGATCTTCAACTTTTGACATGAAAAAGCAGAAGCCGATTGCAAAACTATTAAAGATGATTTTTCATAACTAAACTTTCAGCCAGTTATCTTCTGGCCACTCATTTTAAAAGATAGAGGAAGAATTGTTAACAGTCCAGTAATATCTGAGGGTACATCTTGGATGGAAGATCCGCTGACGTCACTAGATTACACGCAGGCGCCAGACGAGAGCAATCTGGGTAAGACTTGAGATCAATTTTTATGTATGACACATATAGTGTACACCTTACTTTCTACACTAAGGTTCCCTAGTTTGTCTAGTTTCAGGCCCATAAGAAAGTCGAACACTGACCAAAGTGTAATCCAACCATTTTAAAACTGTTTGGAATGTGCTGAAATACAGATGCCACCAAATCCAATTTGAATTTGTGTAGTTATTTAGCAGTTTATCTCTGGCAAAACAGTTTTGTACTCCTCTTGTTTCCACCTCTTCACAACTTCTTTGAGCAGTTCAGAGCTATACTAAAAGTTATCGCAGCTTATCCCTATTTGTGTGGTGTGAAGTGACTGGAACTACAGTTGCTCCCTTGAATGACATGCTAGTTCATCACTGGGTTAACCACCAGCATTTTATCAGGCTCCCCTAACCATTTGTTCCATATAGCTCAAATGAAAGTTTAATGACACTTAAATAAAGTTTATTGTTGTCATTATAATTATAATTATTATTATTACAATTATTATCATCATCATTTATGTTCCTTGGTGGGGTAGTCACACAGAGATTGACCTGGCCAGGTCTCAAACCAAGACCTTCTCTACCCTGAGGCTAGCACATGAACTATTGGAACATTTTGTCTCCCTAAAACATTTCTTCTTCAAAGATCATTTTCTATCTCAACTTTTCTTGGGTGATTCTTTCAGAATTAATTCTCCTAAAGCCAGGGAAGCACTCACCTCCAAAACTTGGGAAATCATCAAGTATAAAAAGGGACAGACAGCCGCAAGCCCTGCGGAAGCACAAAATGTCACAAAACGCACACAGCACGCAAGAAGCAAAGCTTGTTAGCAAATAAGTTTATTGGGGGATGGCCTGCAAGAACCAACCCAAAAAATTATACAACAAACAAAATTTGCAAGAGCTCATCTGGACAACATGACATAAATTGATTAGAGTGTAACAAGATAATTTGGTTTTATCACCCAAGTTGATAATGTAAATTGGCCAGCATAAAGCATTTCCAAGCTGAAGTTTCACACATTAGGCTCCATCATTTGCTCTGACAAAGGGCTAACGCTTGAAACCTCAGCCTTGAAATGCTTCATAGTGGCTAATTTACAATATCCACTCAGTTGATAAAACCAAATTATCTTGTTATACACCCCCAAAGAATCTATCCCTTTAATAATTACTGTAAATCAGTGAAAGTGGTGTCTATCTATCGCTAGTCACCTCCACTATTCACCTCCACTTTGCTGAATGATTAATAATTATTATTAATGTTGATGTAATGTTATGACATATTTAGTTAGTGGTTATTTAGAATTTAGTTTCAACTGAATGCTAATTAAAATTAGGATTTGAATTCAAAGTCCAAAGTTATTTGTCTTCAAGCTATTATGTTGAGTTTCCATGTCTAACTTCCAGAAGTGGAAGTGTTTAGTTGTCTACTGAACTTGCCTTAGATCCACACGAAAGTTCTTGTTTTGGCTGATGCAGTCAAAGGTTCATTTGGTTAACTAGAAGCATCAGAAGTGTTAAAGCTGTTTTCCATTTTTGAGATCACAAAATGTTTGGGATAGTGTTCAGACAACAAATGCTTTTTTAAACAATACAGCCAGTTAGTTTAACTGCACTTCACTGGCAAATTTTTAAGTGTAGGTAGATAAAAGATTTCTCATTGTTATTAGCATACAGAATATCCTCTTCGTATCCTCCAAACCAAAGGCCTACAGTTAAAATATGGGAATTTGTCTCATGTGGCTAAATTTCTTGGGATAGGAAGAAGTTTGAGTTTTACATGGGTTTACCGGCACACTAACAAGAGATTTTTGACTAATCAGTGCGCACGATTTAGTTAAATTTGGTCATAAATTTTGGGAAACAATGAAAATAAAAAGTTACTTTAGAGTATGAATGCCAGCCGAATGCTGAGGTGGTAACAGAAGAACGACGGGTGAAGCACAACCATAGTTGAGCAAGACTACCACATACTGAACAATGACAATTTATGACCAAACTACCCACGAAGAAGAGAATTTGATGACTAACAATTGAATTTGCCCAATAGTGAGAGTTCTTGGCTGTTTTACTGAACAAACTATGCTTTTCTTTTTACAACACTGCCCCAATATAAACTCAAAGTATCAAACAGGGCACAAAATATCTAAGGCTCCACTAGGTTATTCACTAGATAGAGCCAGAATTCTCACGGACATGCTTGTTACCATGGCAGACTAACTTTCAGAAAACTATACATGTAAGTTGCCAAAGGCTGGTTCGTATAAGAAACTACATTATAAGTCAACGATACATTGGTGAAACTCGTCCACATTCTTCTACAAGCATGCATGAACACCATACATCTAACAAGTCCTCTTACAATTCCAAACCTTGCAACCTTGCTGCAAATCTCGCTCTATATATTATTTAAAATCTCTGATTTTCGTTGCACAAAACTTCCAATAAAATTAGAGTATATGCATTCATTTAGAAACTAAATTCAAATCACTAAGACAGCTTATCACGTCATTCTTAGGTACAACTTACAATGGATAATTAACAGTACCCTGGGAATTCAAAAATGTTAAATGACATCTTTTAAAACAAAGATTCAATTACACTAGTCTGAATCTCCTATTAAAATACTGCTCAAACAAATGTTTAAACATAATTGTGTACTAATTGTAATGAAATCTAATCAATTAAATATCCCGTCTTAAAGCACCCCTTACTTACTGTGTTTAGAATGAACAGAGTTCATCACATCTAGAACACAAGCTTAATTTTTTTTCAGATCTACCGCAACAGCAACATTTAATCTCCACCTTAATGCAATTCCATGCCAAACTGGCTAACAGAAACCTGTGTCTTGAAAGCAAAGCTAATTTGTTCATTTCATTATAGTAATATTATGTGTTGACATGGATTCCCTGTTTGTTAAGTAAACCTGATGGAAGGGAGATGTTCCTCTGGGGAACATAACACCTCAAAATAGACAAAGTATTGCTACATGTAGAGCAAGTAAAAGAATCATAATATGGTGATAATACTGGTTTTAGATCAGAATTGAGAAAAACTGATTCAAACTGTTAAAATTTTAGCCCCTTACTTTGCTATATCCTGTAAAAAAGCTTTTTTCAGTGCTTGAGCAACCCCCTGATAAACTACATCATAAAATAAAATACCGCACAGTGACCACAGGAGTGGAGTTCATAGATCAATGCCAAAGTTTGGAGAATAGAATGTTTTCTCATTGTCAAACTTGGAACATTTACTATTCATTAATTTCAGGACTCAATAGAGTTCTTGTGACATAAGCCAACCATCCTGAGGACTTGCAATCTCATCAAAGACTTTAAAGAGTCCTTTTGAACACATAACTGGGCATTTCTTACATTGGTCATAGGAAGTGCGTGCCAGCCAGCCACAAATGTCTTTATTTGTTGATGAAGGTAACAGCCAGCAGTTGCTCTCAACTGGAAGGGAGTCAATGTAGGACTTCATACCACTACTTATCAGCTCTTCTGCTCCTGTTTCTTCAGAAATGCTCTCCCTACCAGGAAGCAGCCATTGTTGGTTGGCCTGAGAAGCCAAATGTGCTTTCAAATTCTCAATACCAGTGAAGACTGAAGTCATGGTATGACTTTCATGATCTTTACAAGACTCTGTGGCAGATGCATCCATCAACCATTCTCCAGGATCCAGCACAGAATCAGTTTTCACACATGTTTCCCGAGTGGCACAGGAAGAAGGTTCTCCTGTTCCTTCAGAATTCCTGAGCCACTGACTTGACTCAGACATTCTTACAATTTTGAAGTAACCTGAAGACATTTCAGGGAGTGTAGTTGTCATCAATGAATCTTTATGCCACCTTTGTGTCTCTGTTGCTTCAATATTTACCACAGCCACATCTTCCTTGTCTTCACTTGGCAAACTACTCCCATTTTCTGTTTGCTTGCCTTGTGGTTGTGCTTTGCTTAGCCAGTACTCCAAGGGATACTGAGGTAAAGAAAGTGAACTTTCTGGAGCTTTCCTGGTCAGCACTGCATTCTGATTGAGCCAGTCATGGATGTTCAATTCTGAAGACGGGGCTCTCAGGATATCTTGCTGGGAACTTTTACCATTATTCTCTCTGATCCACTCTTTAAATGTTATCTGCTCCTCCACCAGACGACTATCAGAAAGCAGTGCTCCAAATTTGTGTATGACATCTTGAAGCTCAAAATTATGAGCAACAAAGCTCATTATATTGGTTTCCTCAGGACTTAAGTTCAGGCAACTAACATCTTGCAAAGTTTCCTTCACAAGATCTTCCAAGGTTTCAGCATCAAGGAGCTCACTGTTCTGTTCTAACAAAGCATAAACTGACTGGATCCTTCCAAGAGCTTTGTTAAATGCAGCAATCTGCTCTTGCAGAACACCATCTTTTATGCACTGTACAACCTCAACCTGTTGAAGTAGCCATGTTTCTCTATTTCTCAATGCCTCTATATGGCGACTGACACTGTCACGAATCTGGGATTTCAAATCTGAGGCCGTAGATTTCAAGTTAGCTTTCACTTGCCTAACTTCAGCAATTCCTTTGTCCAAATCCTTTTTTATCCTAGCCACCTCCCCAAATAGAACAGCCACACTCTCATTACAATCCATTTTAAAATCTACCTGTGTGAAAAATACAAAAACTGTTAAGTAAAAGAAATATATTAAACTGAAACCAACAAATTACAAAGCAACAACTAAAAGGTAAAACAATGTCCTTAGTCCTTAAAGAACGAGACATTAATTCTCACACTAGAGATTTCTATGGTAAAGGGCTGCCTCAAGGTACAAGTGTTCTTCTCAAAGTACCATCCCTTGATAGTTAAGTGGATTATTCTCAGAAAGGGGGTACTGGGATTTTTGGTTTTGTGGTTTTGGCAATTTTTAGAATGGTTTTTCAGTTTTTGTGCCACATGTGACTGATTGATTCAAGATTCCAATAGAATCTCCAATCTTTCAGGTCTTAGTTCACAAATGGAAATGTTAGATTAGGGATTTTCGATGAAACTTTCCAGAGCTATAGCTTTGTGCGACTGCAAACTTGCAATCCTTCAGAGGACTTTTGTGCAAATTTCCTTTATTTAACTGGGCTCCATCACCAGCTGCTGAGTCTGCAGATAAAGCCTGTAATTTAAGCAGATACTAGAGGATACAAATGCCAAGTCCATAGAATTCACAAGTACTATAATGAAATTAGTGTAGTTTACTCTCTATGCTCCACTTTTCATTGATCAGGCTTTTAATAACTGGGATGTTGAAATGTATAAATTGTGACAGTTTTGCATGCAATTTTCAATTCTGATTTAATTTTTTTTAGATTTTTCAGTTTTGGATGACTTTTTCTATGGTTTTGCAGTTTCTAATAGGCCCCAATGCCCCCCTCTTCAGAGTATACATAACAAAAATGTATTTGAAGTGAGAGGAGTACACATTGAGAATATTGAAAATAGGATGGTTTCTCAAAACAGTGTGAATGAAACCATAAACTTCAATCTTAGTTGTGCTGTAGCTCTATAGTCTCTTTCCTAACTCCAAATGGAAACAGACAAATTGGAGGGTAAAAGTACAAAACATGCTAGGATATATTTCACATAAAATTAATAGTTCATCTGCTAATAAGCTTTGGTGGTGACTTGTTTAATTCCTTTATGTAATAAGAAAAATAAGCAATTGGTTTTCTTGAGTGGGTCAATTGCCATCACTCTAGTACTTAGGGCTGTTTATAATTAAAAGCTATCGCAGCATGAAATCTTTTGTTAACCAAGAAAAAGAAAACATAAGAAGACAGCTCATTTGACAAATGACTCACCCCACTACATCTACTAAACCCGCAACACAAAATTTAATCACATCAAAACTCAAAAAAAAAAAAATGGACATAGTGTCGATTGATAAGTATTGAAAAAACAGCCAATAATATAAGGCACTACCTCCCCCCACCCACCCCAGAAAAGGGTTTTCACATAACAAATGCTGCTTTCAGCTCTCTGTATACATATGTAAGAAACCTGCATCTCTGACATACCAAGAGAAAAAACAGTTACAGGATAAACTAATAATTGCATAAAAAACTTAAGCAAATGCAGGCACAAAAAACCAAAGTTTCTTTCCAACAGAAAGCCCGAGAGAACGCAAATATGCGTCTAGTTCAATATTAAACGTCGCCTCTTCATACTCTCCGCGTACATTGGGCAATGGATCATACTTCCTCCTCAGAGTCCAAAGGTATAAGGTTCGAGATAGTTATACAATATTCTTTGGCACAACATATCAACAGGAGATAAAAAAATTGTCTTGAGCAATCTTTATATCCCTAATAAAAGAGGTTTTTATTCGTCATTCATTTCATTAAATGTTAACATCATGATTCAATCTGCTACGTATCATTTGTCGGTCAATTGAAGCATAATATCATAAAGGAAACTATAAGAATCACAAAGATTTTTATTAGTTCAAATTCGACGCAGAGCTTTTTCATTTGCAAGAATGTTTTCGTGACGTGAGTTCTCCGCCTAATTATCGACGTTCCCGTTTGTAATTCGCTTTTCAATCAAACAAAACGACATGTAGCACTATTGTTTAAGAATCTCCAAGTTCATATCAGAGTGAACGGATATCGTTATCTCAAACTCGACATATAAAATCAAATTCTTACCAGAGTAAGATGAAAGTTCTTTGAATCCTTCACAGGGAGATACCGGTCTTACGGTCGCAAATCGTCTTAAAGCGGTAGGCTGTTATTTGAGCAACAGGGAGAAGGAATAGCAAATGAACCAATCAAAATTAAGATTATATAAAACAAGTTTAGAGTTCCGATAATAAAAACGCTGTGATTGGTCAAAAGGCTAAACTGGGTTTTTGTTAAGACTCGTGATATTCTTTTAAACGTGTGCGCATGAGATGCCGCACGTCATCATGTTCTGCATCTGATTGCGAAGGAAAATTTTTTTTTCTTCATCGAATCACTAAAACTGAATGTGCAATCAGAATGAAATTGCGTGGCCTCGCTCCCATTCTTCTGTCGCGTGATAAACCATGAATTTTAGTTGTTTTTTTTAGAATTAAGTGTAACGAGAGGATTCTTAGCTAATAAGTTTATTTTGAATGATGGAAAACATAACAGGTCATAACATTATGCATGGAATCTGCGGAACTTTTGCTAACCTCGGCAAAGCGTACGTATGGTCTCGAGGGAAACGGCCTGTTTTCACATCAGAGAATACGCAGATTAACTCGAGCAGAAGCGAACTTTTTGAATAAAGATATTTAATTTCCAATAACGTTACATTTTTGGCAACCTATTACTTGACGAAGATCTTCAAGGTTGCGGGAACAACAAAGTCGTGACACAGGACAGTACAGTGCTGAAAGATTTTTTAACTATATCGCACGACATGCGAAGTTACGTGCAACTCACTTGTATTCTTGAGCTTCATATGATAAACTTTCGTACCGATTTTATAATAATTATGTTGCATCTTTAGCGTGGTTAGTCTAGGTTGGTACCCAACAAATAGTGCATAGGTTAGGCTCTGTAAGAGTGGCCCTCTTCTCTGTGTGACTCTGTTGTACACGCAATGTCTTCCGTGAGTAAAGCTTCAGCATTGACAGCATGCCTCTGAAGCGACTGCTGTCTGACTTGGTGCCGTTGTCCACGGGGTGCGAGAATAAATACTGAACTGAATGTCGTTTTGAGAGCTTATGACACGGAATTTTTTTCTTGCATTTTCTGGTTTATGACTGTATTTAAAATTTGAAATAGTCGGCCTTTAGCGCCTAGCGAGGTCTCCTTGACCATTTTTTGCGCATTGAAAGTACGATTTAGCGGCCAAAAAGTGTCCCCATTTAGCGCACTGCTAAAACGATCATGCCACATAGCTGTGACGTAAAAACGGTGAAGTCAAGTCGGTAACTATGGTGGAGAAACGAGAGGACGATTGCATTGCGTCACCGGAGCGCCAAATGATGCTAGCTACACGAATAATACACATTTACCGGGTATTTCTATACATTACTTTACGTCATCCCTGACCTGACGACTGAATGGACGCTTTTCGATCGTCGACATGGAGGAGATTTTACTCTTCGATGATGTCGGCCTTATACTCGGTAACAGCTTTAAGAGGGGGCATTAGGGCCTATTAGAAACCGCAAAACCGTAGAGAAAGTTATCCAAAACCCAAAAACCCAAAAACCCAAAAAAGTTTTGATCAAAACCGAAAACAGCATGCAAAACTGTCACAACCGATACATTTTCACATCCCAGTTATTAAGACCCTAATCGATCCGATACAGTGGTGACAAGTGGAGCATACAGAGTAAGCTACACTAATTTCATTACAATATTTGTGAATCAGGAAGAAATGGGCTCCTATCGTGAATGCTATGGACTTGGCATTTGTATCTTCAAGTATCTGCTCAAATTACAGGCTTTATTTCAACAGCTCTCTTGAGGACCTCGAGCATGGCATCTGCGGACTCGGCAGCTGGTAATGGAGCCTAGTTAAATTAAGGAAATTCGCGCAAAAGTCCTCTATAGGATTGCAATTTTGCAATCGCAAAAAGCCATAACTCTGGAAAGTTTCATCGAAAATCCCTAATCTAACATTTCCATTTGCGAACTAAAACCTGAACGTTTGGAGATTCTATTGGAGTGTTGAATCAATCAGTCACGTGTAGCCTATTCTTTTAAAGAATTATCACAATGTTTTAATAGCATTTTATTAATGTGACTATCCCAGTTCGTGTTCGGGTGATTTAATTATTTCCGCTGCTGCTCTTTGCATGTCTGTCACTGAGACCGTCATCAGGCAGTTTAAATCTCTCCCTTTATTCGTTACTGGTGATCCTGAAAAACAGCAAGTTTCTCCACTTCCACTGTCCTCAGGATGGCCCTATAGAATTAAACTGTTTTCTCCACCTTCACCAGCTGTCCAAAACCCATTTCCTGTAACTTCCTCATCTTTTCTTTAACCATGGGACCATGGGACCATAGGGCCTTATCCCAGAAGATAATTTGCAATATATTCTCTTCGGAGTTACGACATAATCATCATGTCTGATGATAATTTGGTTGATCACCTCCTCAGACACCTGGCCCTTTCCTTGCATTTCTCCCAGCAAAGCTGTCTAAAAGTGAAAACATTTTCTGCAGTCGCTTTTCAGCTACGAAACCGTCTCCCCGGGGAACGAAAAGACTCTTCCCTGAACCAACACCTGCGCATCATAGGGATCGAGAAAGAGCAGTTTATCCTTCAAAGTATTGCACAAAAGTTAAGGGAACATGCCGTCACGGAATTTTTGGGATCCGTAGAAAAGAATATGCCTTTTATCCACATTATTCGCACCGTGACAAGTTTGACGTCATGGCTGATAACTTCGCTAACAGGGATTTCTGACTGCGAACTCGGCAATGCAACTCCCCTTGCTTTAGCACGCATCCGAGGAGCCCCTTTCATGATGATATCCTCAATTTAGAATTTTCTTGTCGTTCCTGTCATTCCAAAGGAAACCCCCCCCGACCAAGATTCCATCATATATAGCTTATGAAAGGGTCGGGGCTGGACGCTACGATGCTACAGTAGAGACAGATCTGGAACCTCATCAGTCTCCTTCACTGGCGCCTACGGTGTTGTGTACTGACTCAAGCAAAGTTAAAAACCTGCTTTAACCCGAGGGAGCATCACATCAAACCACAGCAATAGGCTGCAGTTGTGGTAGAGGAAACGCAAAGAACAATGAAAAAAGAGTTTTTTTGTCTTATTTACAAAGATGGGTGTAGGTGTTTTCAAGGAGTCAAAGGATGTATAAGGTCGTGCGCTTGTTTCAACTGCGGCAACCCCTATGGAAAGCGACCTCAAACGAAACCGGGGACTGAGCTCTGATACTATTCCTAGCAGGTTTAGAAGTAGAGTTTCTGGAAAACAGGGGTTGTCGGAAACATGGAGACGCCCCCACGCGAGAACAATTTCGTTACCTTTTGAAACCGGATTCTTGTTTTGTTTGTACAGTAATTTGTTGATTGATGGACACGTGAAATTTAACTACAATAATCGCATGTACATTAGACTTTGATCAGTCCTTTTTCGAAGCGAAGATTGGGTTGTATTAATAGGTTTTACGATACGAGGTCAATTTTGTCATAGCAGGACGAATTAATTAAACGAATCAACTGACAAATCAATACAAGTTTCGAAGTTTATAACAAGGGCGTCAACGTCATTCTACCACCGCGATTAACGATAGAAGAGCTTCTTTTCAAAGAATGCGCGTTTCATGTGGCCGCCATAGGTACCTGAGATATCTCTGTTCTACCGAAAATGTACATCTGCGCGGTCAAAAAGTAATGTAGTTGTAGTGGTCTATTTTGGGTGCAAACTCGTCCAAACTTGAAATGGTTCCTAGAATGCGAAGCTCTAAGGATATTCAAAGAATGCCATCTCGGATCCAAAAAGAAGACACTGAAAATACTAAATTTTGAAGCTCCTGCGAAACACACTTAACAATGGCAACTATAATTGTCAGGAATGAAATTAAGAGGTTTCGAGCTGGATATAAATATGCTTGTTCTTATCCTAAACCAACAACAATAAAATTAGAGATGTTTTGCAGTGTTCGTCGAGAACAGTACATACCTTTATTGACTGCATCAGTTTGGTTGTTTTCGGTTGTCGTATTAAGCAGTTTTGAGGATATAAAGATTGCTTGTTCTTATCTTAAACCAACAGCACTATGAATAAGATTAGAGATGTCGTGTTCGTTAAGAGCAGTACATGCATTGTACATGCCTTGATTGCATCAGTTCGGTTGTTTTCTTTGCAGCCGGTCAAAAAGCGTTTAACTAAACTAGTACTTGGAGAAAGTTCGTTTTGATTACACCTATTTAGGCTCCCCATACACTGACCTTTTATATGGAATACTTATAATTAAAGTTGGATAATATAGCTATGTTATATAATTTGGAAACAAAGTTCATAGCGTTTTGTAAACCCTTTTTGCAAATTGACATTTTATTTACACTTCAATTAAGATTTACAGCATCACGTAAGGAAAAAAGTCTTTATGTACATGAAGATATTGTTTCGGAGTGAGGCCTCGTTTGTCAGAGAATCGCGCTTAATGTATATCACAGGAGCCCCGTTAAGGACTCCATTTTTCGATATTTCGAGGATCCAGAAATTCCTTATTTCGCTATTCTAAATAAGGACTCCTTCGTAGACTATCTATTTCGCTCTTCGATTTACTGTATATCTTAGAGGACCCATGTATAGACTCTCTATTTACCCATGATGATAAGGTCCCTTTGAGGGACTCCATCTTACCAGTTATTATAAGGACCCATATATAGGCCATTCTTTTCACAAAAGATTATGATGTCCTTCCCTCTATTTTACTGTTCATCATAAGGACTTATTTATAAACTCTTCATTTCACCGTACATTATAATATTCTCTCTAAAGACTCTCTATTTTCCTGTTTCTCACACGGAGTCCCTTTCAGAGACTTTTTCGTTAACTGTAGTACATTACCAGACCCTATCGGAAAATCTACTTCTCAAGTATTCCAATTTACTACAAAACATTTCAAGGCTTTTGTAAGAGACTCAGTAACACCATACAATTTAACAAGGCCCCTTAACTGAGTATAAATAATCGGTCATAGTAAAACAAAATTCGAAAGACATTTTGAAATCAAGAAACAA